AATTAGTTGGACCTAAACAGAAACCTTTTATTAAATTTGGTGAACTTTTACTTGTCTTAGTTGTTTAGTTAATTACGTGTTAGGAGGTGTGTTTAAGTTTCTAGTCTTGTAAAACTAGAGAAAAACCCTTTACTTGTAATACTTGTCTAGTTAAAATTAGTTATTAGTTTAATTTTCGTTCCTTGAGTTCGATACCCTACTTATTTAACTATACCACTAAAAGACGGGTTCATTGCCTTTGTGTGCTAAAATTATATTTTTAGAGTAGGAATAAAACCAGTGCATTTTTACACACATCACTATAATTTTTAAGATACTTTGATTATGATTATGATTTTTGGAAACTATTTTTTGAATGAATTATGGATTTTGATATGGTTTTAAAAATGAAAATTTTTGTCATGGTTTTAGGGATGTTACAACATAGAAGTTGAAGCGCCTCAAGAAACATAACCTGATGTAGTAATAGTTGGCACTAATTTTAACAAGGGAATGTTAAACTTAAATAATAGATAGTCACAAGCACAAATTGTTCGCATTATTGGTAGAAATCAAATATGACTTGAGAAATATGGAATATCTCATTAAATACCAAGATGCTATGTCAGATCTCGAATCTGATTAATGACTTAGAGTCATGAACATGAGATGTAATCCATGTATGATAATCAAGTATGGTCTGGATTGAACTTCCTCTCTATAGCATGGCTAGAAGGAGTAAGTGATTCTTCTAGAAAGAATACATTACATGGATAATTATACACATTTAAAGCAAGACTTTTTCTAAAAGGATTTTCTCATACTCATATCATTGACTATGTTCTTTATCATACTCATGACATTAACTATGATCAACCTTTTTTCACAAGTAGCTATGATTAGATCAACAAGGATATTATTTACTATAATCATATTCTTAATATGGTATATAGCAAATAGATTTCAAGAAAGACCGCTTTTCTTAATAGACATCTACTTGAAGATATCTATATAGATTAGCCTGGAGGTTTTCTTAATCCATGTTATCCTAACAAAATGTGTAAATCTTGAGATCCACTTATGGATATAAAACAAACACTACAATGTTGTAATCGTTATGTCAATATGAAACCACCATGTATGCTTTTTACATTAAAATGAATGGAACATATGTGTTTACTAAGAACTAGTGGGAGTATAGTGACATCCCTAATATTGTATGGGTGAGACATACTATATCATGAGAAATTACATTCTGACCATGGCATGCTTTTTCACCTTGACTCGGAATATGTTTCTAAAATGATTGAATTAAGAAGGACACAAATACATTCTTGGAATATAAAATCTATAAAGATACATAAAATGAATGTTAAAAGTTTCATATATTTATGCATATATTGACGATATCTTGAAAGGGATCAAGATACAAAATTCCTTTGAAGGAATCTTGGTATTGTCACATGGCACTAAGTTTGAGCCAACATCAAAAGGACCTAGCTCATAGGTTTGAATTAGCTGAAATGTTTTATGTTCAATTTCCTTGGCAAATGAATCCATCATTTATGTCATATTATGCATAAGACCTTGGAGCATATCAATATATCAATTAAATACATGGTTAAGTCATTGGATGAATATAGGAACGTTCTAAGGGTACTTTAGAAGAACTAAGATAATGTATATGAGATAATTAGTTTAGAATAAAATCTTCATGTAAAGAGCTGCATAAGATTCTTATTTCTAAACATATAGATATATATATATATATATATATATATATATATATATATATATATATATATATATATATACACACACACATATAAAGTTATGAATTATAATTGGATTATGACTTCACTATGAGATAAAGAGTAAGTTTAGTTGAAATGAGGTCTAAGCATAACAAAATGACACGATCTACTACAAAATAAGAATACACTACTTTAAAAGTTGAAATCTAATATGATTGGATGAATGAGTTCATTGAAAAATTATGTTGATTTCTTCCATTCAAGGATCACATAGAAATCTTTATGACTTCGAGAGTATACTTAACCAAGCTAAGAGACTCTATGTCATAAAAGAATACCAATCATATACTCCAAGATATTTAACTATACCTAGCGTAAAGTCAAATATAAAGATGATAGTATTCACAAAATTCACACAAATTAAGTTTAGTTGAACCCATTAATAAAGTCCTTCTTTTTGAGCTAAGTATGAATGGTTATACTTCAGCTATAAGACTTTATTATTCTATAAATGGTATTTTGATTTGGATTTGGTATTTGGATATTGGAACATTGTGACAACAACTATTATATAATGTTTTGATATATTGGGATATGATCATAACATCAATACTTGTTGTGTTCTATATTAACATGTTTAATCCATGAATAATCTTATTATACTAAAATTTCATAGTCGGTTATAACGGTGGGAACAATTATGAAGTAAGACTAATATGAATTAGATTGGTTGACTTTCACTAGATGAAGGTAGGCAATGGCTTGTACCCAAGTTTCATAAGTACTTATCAGAGAACTACTATTGAACTGACCCGCATCAAGATCATCTCATGGATCGCTATCATGAATGATACTTGATTAAAAGATACTATATTTATATCCTTAACACCTGAGATACATAGTAGGACTTGAGCGTAGGGAGTGTTGTGTTTTGATATGGTCAAATTTTGATCCTTAACCAGGTAGTTATGAAAGCCATTTTCAAGTATGGTGTGACCTATGCAAGACGCTTATGTAGACGAGATGAGATTTGTTCCTCTTATGTGTTGAGAGTTAGACATCTAAGGCGCCTTACCAAAAGTTAAACACTAGATGAGATTGATCGTGATCCGTATCTCATGTTCAACATGATGTCCGTGACAAAGGGATAACTCATAAACTTAACTTATACATCAATTGTAGCTTTGAGATTTTTGGGAATTGGGCATTGAGAGAATGGCACAAAGTCTTATATTGATGGGAACAATGAAATGTTGGTAGACGTTCACCACTGTTTATATCAGTCTGATATGAGTTTTGCGCAAGTGGGAGATTGAAAGATCTTGTATGCTCAATAATCATATTAAAGTGATATTGCTAATTAACATCTGATACTAATGGGTCACTCTAACAACAACCTAATATAATTGATTATTTATTAGAAATTGATTTTAATAAATATTCAACAAGCTCATATAATATGATTTATTGTGTCATGTACATCTTTTTGGACTAGAAATATTTTTGTCTTTTAGCTAAAAGTTAAAGTTTATAAAATATAAAAGGTTTGTGAGTTTTATAAACTTTGGTCTTGCTTTTTTTTTTCCTTATAGCCGAAATCTACATGGGAGCCAGAGGAATGGTTCTTTAATTATTATAATGTAAAGAACATTCCTCCTAAAAGTAAGCTTGTACCACATGATTAAGCATGAGTGATACTAAGATGAGTAGGTCTTAAAGGTTAAGATCTAATGGTTAAAGATGACATGTAAAAAGGCTTTCATTCGCTTCTTTTGTGTTAGTCTTGGAACCGTAACATGCAGATAAATGGATACTCTCTCTCTCTCTCTCTCTCTCTCTCTCTCTCTCTCTCTCTCTCTCTCTCTCTCTCTCTCTCTCTCTCTCTCTCTAGGTGTTCCTTCTTTTGAAGACTACTTGCTTATCTTATGCTCTCTTGAAGTTCATATTGGTTATGAACTTCAAGCTTAAGAGTCTTAAGAGTTTTATACAAAAAAACTAGCATTCTACATCAAATTGAGTCATTGTTGGCATCTCTAAAGTTCTTCATTCTCTATCAACTTTCAAGCTTCCCAAGAGGACCCAAACAACTACAAAGATTGTTATTTCTTCGTCCCTTCTTTGGTTGGTGTTTAATCTTTCTATAACTTGCAAGATGATTTTTGATGAGTATAAATTTGTTTATTATTTTGAAATCTCAAGTCTTCTATTTGCCAAACTTTCTAGTTTATGAAACTATTTTTTTGAAATAAAACCCAACAAAACTCACCGATGCGAAGGGCACAAACATACCATAACAAACATACCATAACAATCTGATAATAAAAATAATTATGGAGTGTTCTTATTTAGTTCATAGAGATGTTGACCTTTGGCTTGTGAGCATAAAGGGCAGCACCCAAACCCTAGACCAATACATATACAAGGAAAATTGCACAAATTGTATGGGTTACAAGACAAAAGTAAAGGTACATTTGCACTAGATTTATTTGTTTTCCTAATACAAATTTTTTTTTCCATAAATCATACAGAAGTTAACACCACTTAACCATAATTAAACACAAAAATACAAACACAACAAATGACCATCCATTAATTTAAAACGAACACACCGGAATGTCACTCCAAAATAAACACATCATAAAAATAAACACACTACAAAAACCCAACGCAGTTTCTAGTCTAGAATATTGGACTGAATTCTGGAATGGGCTTGTCCATAATTTCGGACTCCACTCCGGAATTCATTGTTCAGGACATTTTGGTCATTTTACTAAACTAAAAAATAACGGCTATTTCGGTAAAATAGATAGATAATATTTATATTGGTTAGATTACTCCTTAATTTACCATCACAGATGCTATAAGTACAAGTGGCATGTCTAAAATAAAAATCGACTTCATGTCTAAAACAATGAACAAATACATATAGCCCAAATCAACGAAGAACAACATCAAAAGAGGCATCCATCAACATCAACATCAAGCATAAAATACAAAGAACAATGTAAAACTTGAAGTGATCGATCAATCAATCCCTAAAAATCAAATCTCACATCGTCCACAAAACCAATAAATCACACAAATCCCAAAAAAGATTGTTACTGAATCGAAAAAACGATTCTCAATTTCTAACAACATGGTTTTACAGCATTTACACGATAAATGACAGACACCTGAAAATTCTATCTTTTCCCAGATTCTTCTACCATTTCTTCTTTTATCTCTCAAGAAACCAAAATAAACAAACATCGGGTTCGAGTTAAAATGTTACCTTGTACATCAAAGAATTAAAATTAGAGATTCATAAAAACTACCCAACACCCACACCAACTCACATGGCGGTGGCTGTGGCGGCAGTAGCAGCGGTGGTGCTACTGATCTCTGTGGCGGTTGACAGTGGTGCCAAAGTTTTTGCCGCCATGTTTACACCACCTCCTCTCAAAGACAAATTCGGCCCTTTACATGAGCTTGCTTTACTCACTAAATTCGAATCAAGAAACACAACCACAACGGTGATGTCATCGTGAAAATGACGCCTTACGCCCCTCTCGATCTTCTTCAAATCTGAATACCTCATTTCTCTCTTTTTAGCTGCTTCTTGTAATGCTGCTTTCACTAGCCTTCTAGCACTTCCCTGAATGTACAAAAAAAATTGTTACAATATTATGATTATTAGGGTTAAAACTTAAAACCCATTAAGCCCATTAAATAAATAAAAAATTTTAAAAAAAAAAAAAAAAAGAACAACTCCTTACATTGTTTGGGTGATTTTGAACTATATCAACTGCTTCTTGATTGGTGAGGTGTTCCCAAAGACCATCGGATGCAAATATGAGAAATCGGTCATCCGGTTCGAGTTCATGGGTCGATATTGACGGGTCGGCGGTTAATATGGGTCTTCGGATCGGGTCGCGGAGCCGGAATTTGGCGTATAAGGGTTCACGGTTAAATTCTGCTTTTTTGAGGTATACGTCACCTATAGATCTAGATATCTGCAAGATAATTTGGAAAAATAAATAAATAAATAACAAAATACAAAATGTTATCAACAAAATTGGCATTGAGAAACAATGGCAATTTTGTTATAAAAAGATGTACCAAAATCATTAGGATGTTAACTTTATAAATGTGCATTTAAATTGGTTATATAAGCATATTTGAATTTAACTAAGATACACATAAGCAAAATATTTGACTTTGTCAACTAATTACCCGATGACCTAATTGAGATATTTTTTGTATATATAAGAACTTAATATGTACAAATAAACGTTATGTGACCTTACACTTGAGCTTCAATCAAATAAAAAGAAAACATTCATTTAGCCACAAGAAACTTCATAGAACAATGATGATGATGATGATGATGATGATGATGATGATGATGATGATGATGATGATACCTGTATAAGGCCTTTGACACGCCAAACATTATGTTTCAAAACGACAATCTGAGGATCATCAGGATGCAATCGATGAAGCTCTTGTCTTACAGATTCAATACTCGCATTATGTTCAGTCGACAATTGAATCCCAATAACTTCACCAGTCGACTTCACAACTCTCCCTAAAACAGCTCGTGAATCACCAGCATTAGCAATATAAAGAACGCCATTACAAATCACACCAACTAAACAACAAGATCCAACAGCAGCTAATTGGGGTTTCACAATCCATTGTTTAGCGACAATCGACAAAAACCCATCTTCAGTTGCCTGAAACGCCTTCTGTATAACATCAATCGACATCGACTGTTGTTCTGTAGTAAACCCTAAAAAAACCCCATACAAATTAACATCAATTTCATGTTCTACTTGCTTACTAGTGACTTTATTGATTTGGGTTTTTGTATTGACTTACTTTTGAGATTTTGAAAAAGATGATCGTTGACATAACGCGATGTTTCGGGCCCACCATGACCATCGTAGACGCCGATAAAAGTTCCATAGGGGCCAGAATCGAGAAAGCTTAAAGAACCGGATTCAATCTGGCTTTGATCTTCGAGTAGCATATTGGCTTGAACAACAGCCATGGAGAACTCGCCATTTAAATGGTGGCCGAGGTCTTTATACCAAAGAAGTCCGTCTTGTTTTCCGGCTGTGTCGGAACCGGTGTATGGGTAACGATCGGAGGGTCGCCAACAGGCTTTTAGAAAGTTTATCAATGTCGATAACATCCCTCATTTCACCACAAGTTACCACCGATTTGATGATTTTTCAACATCCGAAAATGGATGTGAAACAAGAGTGTATCGACGCAGAATCTTCTTTTATCGAGTTTCGAGTTTCCTGCATAGTGTAAACTAAAGAATCAAAAACTATATGCACAAATAGGATCATGATTCATGACCTAATTAAGCTGAATCTTTAAAAAGACAACTGCTGCAAGGGGAAAAATTAAAGATTGCAGAAAAACCCAGTAAGAAAATTGAAATAGGAAGATGAAAAACGATAAAATAATGAAGATAGGCCACCCATTTTAGAGAAAAGTTAAAGAAGAAGATTGAAGACTTACAGTTGAAAGTTAGGCTTTTTTTTTTGCAAGTGTGGTTTTTGGTAAGCTAATGGATCATAACAAATGAAAAAGATGGAGATCTGAACGAGTTTAGAGCAAACCCATGTGAGTTTAGATGGGTTAGATCTGTAGATCCATCAAAAATCAAAACTTTGTACATAAATATAAGTATATGTATATGTTTTGAGAAGATGAAGATGGAGAGAGAAAGAGGGGAGGAGAAATGGGAAGATAAAGATAATTGAAGAGAGTGAAGAGAAGGTTTTTATTTGATTATATTTATTTATTTATTTTTCTTTTAATTTAAACAATCGGTGTCTTTGGGGTGATGTGTGATTAAACAAAACGAACATTTGCTTTCTATTATCAGCAGACAAGAACCACTCTCCTCGTCTAGAAGAAGAAAAACAACAAAATAAATGGCTGAAAGCCAGCAAATCCAAATGGGTTTTTGTGGGATCTATAAATTGAGGTCAAACATGGTTATTTTAAAAACAAATAATAAAAAAAACTCTAATAACTTAATTAGGAATCCAATCGTGAAAGAGAAAAATATATTTTATGAATTGATCAAAGTGATTGAATTATAAAATAATGCAATTAAATCCCTATTAATGGTGTTAAATAAAGGCATACGGTGTGGTTGAAAGACCATGGAGTACGGGAGGGTAGAAAATCATAAGGATATAAACTCATTGGTGGATGGATGGAGGAAAGAGAAATATCACTGGGGTAGTTCTCCCGGTTTGCGATGGACGAAGGAAAAAGGGGGAAATGGTGGAAGAAGGATGTGGGAACACCATATCAGATGTTCGATATTTGTGGTGTGGCTTCTCAATCGAGGCATGACATTGTGCGCCCTAATAGGTGATTTGTAAAGGGAGAAAAAAATCCAAATTTTAATCCTATTAGTATTTCTTTCCTCCCAATAAAACTCAAGATGGTATATGGGAAACTATGGTTGAGTTTGAAAATAAAAGTAAATAAATATCATGGGAAGATGGGTTCAGTAATTTGTTTGTTGTCGAGTCTTTGAAGGAGACATGAACGAGATAAGATAATCTTCAAGAATGAAACAATATTTGAAAGTAGAATGGCAGTTTGAGATATCACTGCTAATCTACAAGCGGCAATGAGGTATAGAAGTAAAGTCCATGAAAACATCTTCCTTTTATGTAATGCAAGAACATCAACATGGTGAGTAGTCATAGGAGTCACGAGAGGCCATAAATTGACAAACTATATGAATTGACAAAGCGATATTATTACAAGTAACTATTAAAAATACAAATAAGCCCACGAGTTCAAGAAACATGTGTGGTCGGGTAGATATGATCAATCATCGTGGTATAACTTGAAATTAAGCTCTAGAAGAGTCTAATCAATCTTGTTCCTGTGCTCTTGCAAGAATGTTAGAGGCATAGGCATATATGTGTTTTTCATAAACATATGTATTTGTTGTGAGTTATGACTTCAAGACCAAGAAAAAGAATGGGGGTACATCTCAACATGTTGGCTCCAAAAATGGTTTAGGTTAATAATGCATTTATTGTCACTATAGGTGATAGTAATGTCATATAGGTGATAGTAATGTCATTGACATATGATAGAATGATAATGGTATTTAAGGTCATAATTTTGGTAAAGAAGCCATAATCATAATTGTTTAAAATGAAACAAAATAAGTTAATAGTTGGTTGGAATTTTGTTAATAATAAAAAGTGGTATACGGGACTTGTCCCGCATAGGAGTGAGCTGAAACAATGACTTGTCTTATAAGGCTTTACCTACTTAACCTATCAAATAGATAAAGTAACGGGTCAATATATTCAATGGTTAAATATAGAGCCTTTGTGCATTTGAGTTCTTGACAAATTGAATTTATTCTTAATATATATTAATTTCAAAAATAATTTTATTAATTATATAAAAGTTATGTTAAATTGTTTTTACTACCATGATGATTAATTTTTTTTGGAATCAACAGAAGCACCTCGGCCTTTTACAGCAGAGGCTCGGGTTCGAGCTCCAATTAAGAGCAAACCCTCACCCTTTTTATTAGAGTTTCAAGGAAAAATCTCTATGCGTGGCGACCATAGGAGTTGAACTCCCCACCTTGTCCCACAATAGGTATAAACCCAACACATCTACCCAGTTAAGCCAGACATCGTACCATGATGGTTAATTAATAGTTAGTATTGGTTATGACAGTTATTAATTGCATTTGGTAGCCCACATAAAGAAGTTAACTAACAGATTTAAGGGTCCAAGAAAAAACACATAACTCATATCTTTATCTTCCATTTTGTAACGCATGCAATTTCGGGCTAGACAATTAAAATATAATAGACGAAAAAAACAACATTTTGATAGAAGGTTAGTATACGTGGCAAGGATTCAGTACATATAAATAGCTCTAAAATCCGACTTAGTATGAAGAAGTTATGCTTCTTCGAAATTCTATGATTCAACTGAAACGACTACATGCATCGTAAAAAGCGAATTGTAAACAGGTTGCTTATTAGCCTAAGCAATCTAAATGAAAGTCACAGTAATTGTAAAACCAAGAGCATGCCTATAGAGAGCACCCAAATTTGACTTCGTATGAAGAAGTTATGATTTTTCAAAGTTTCAGTGTGAAAGAACAAGATCTAGCATGGTCAAGGTTTGAAAAACTCAAATATGGAATTAACACTTTTAACATCAATGTCTGCTTCTAATGTATTGGTCCATTCAAGTCTAGTAAACAAGTCGAGACACGAAGATAGATAACTAACCAACAAAGTATTCAAGTAATAAATGAAGTAAACTTTAGTATAAACAATGTAAGGATAAATTAAGGACAAGAAGAATGTAAAGAAAGAACTTAGACTTGAAAGAAAGTTGAAAATGATATGAAGAGAATAATTTCTATTTTTGGATTAATACTTTTTTATGTGTCTCTTACAACTCATGAAACATTTACTCCTTAAATAGTGAAAGATGAACCTAGAATAAACCGCTAAATCATTCTAAGGACTAGATAATGATCAGATTTTGACAAACTGGCATACAAAAGATACACACATTTAAATCCTATGAATTGTTACATCATGAAAAAAGACAAAATACATTAAATGCATGTACAGATACTAACTTTGGATCACCATTATCTCGGATTTATCATAAGCTTCGAAACACCTTCACATCTCGGACACTAGCTAACTTTGGATCTTGCTTGGTTCGGATTGCTAGAGGTTCACTTTTCATGTATTAACAATCCCCCCCCCCCTAAGTGAACTTAGCAATCTCGTCAGCTTAGTTGGCTTCTTCTAATATGAAAAGGTAAGTTCAATAGAGCCAATATCAGACTTCCAAATACCAGGCAAGATGATTGATAAACTTGTTCTTCACATGCTCAAGAGCATCACTCTTAGTAGCATTGGCTATGAACTTTTTTAGATTGGATGAAGGAACGAGGTGTTTATCAAGAACTCGAAAGAATTCTTTTTGGTTGGTATTCTTCTTCAAGTAAACATATCCATGCTCTGGTTCCTCAATAGGTCCTTTTGCTAAGATTTGTGCTTCAGGCGGTTAGTTATTTTTGCTAATACATGTTTATTTCCGAACAAGTGCACGGACTCAATGTCAGATTTGCAGAATTCAGCTACATAATCCTTCAGAAATTTCATTGTAGCACTGTATACTCTGATGCCTAGTTGATAAGTTTGACGACTTCATAAATGAGCAGCAATTAAGAGAATGTCGTTTGGATTGATGGGTGGTAAGTTTGTGTCCATGATGGTGATGGAGGCTTTTTTATTCTGAAAAATGTGATATCAGTACAACAATAAATTCATGTCGAACTTGCTTTAAACCTTGGCTCCATACCCAATGATCTTTGTTATACTCTTCCGAGACCACACTTCTTTTTGAGGATGTGCTTTGACGGATTAGAATGTCTTCAACCTCTCTCGTTTTTTCGGATGATGGTCAGAGTGAAGTGGAGCAAACTTGATGTAGTACTTGCCATGAGGAGAGATGGGAAGATCAATTTGGTCAGAGTCTTGATTGGGAAGATCAAAGTACATAAAGGACACGAAATCCAGATCACGATTTATGCCTTCTCGGAAGAGTGAGGATATGCCTAGCAGAGGATTGGGATTATCTTTTAACTGGATTTGAATGCTCTCTTCAAGTGCTTGATCAATTTCAGCTTGTAACCAGCCTTCAGACTTTCTGAAGGTCCTTTGACGGCTGTGAGGTTCTGAGGCAATGTTTTGTACTTTGTCTTGATATGGTGTGTTCAAGTTAGAAATGACTTGTTGGATGGTTTTAGAGATGATAAACTCTGGAGGAGGAGGAATCAGAGGGTCTTCTAGAATATCGCCTGGTTTCCGAACAGGAGAACCTTCATCGATTGGGATAATTCTTAGAGAACGAATAGGGGGCATCGTAGTCTGAGTGGCTCGGAACACATCAACAATGAGCTTTGTCTTTATTTTATCCATTTCACGGCTTCGTTTAAGTATGTCTACCAAGGATGATGGCCAAGTGACAATGGACCATATCCTTCATTCTTAATCCGATAAAACTTTAGCTGGAAATTTCTGAGGAGCTTGAAGTCCTACAACGGAGTTTGTGATTAAGTTTTTATCTTCATCTTCTTTTGTTGGAGGTTCCATGGATATAACATGTATATCATCATCATTAGATTCATCTCGGAGACTGAACTCCGAGGCAGGTTTCTGTTGAATGGTTTAACCCTTTCGGATAGGTCCTTCTCCCCCTCTTGCTTTGGAAGGACCTGCATCCGAGGCAATTTCTGTTGTAGCTTAGACTTCAGACAACCTTCCGAATACTTTATAGAATCTCATGTTGATTTTCTTGGAGAGAGCATCGTTAGGCTTCAACAGTGGGAGCTTGGGCTTTCAGATGATTAAATAAGGTACCCAAGATGGAAAACATTTCATCGAACTTGTTGCTGGGAACGTCAACGATGTTCCAGCAAGCTTGGAGTAACTTGATGAGGACCTGTTGCATGATGAGATTGAGTTTGTCTTTCTTCTTGATTTCTTTCTCTAACCTTTAGATCTTCTTTTCATGACGAACATGAGTCTACTTGATGAATTCGTTTGTGGCCGAAATCATATCCTCATGAATCTTTAGCATTTTGAAAGGGATGGAGATGTGATGATCAAGGCTAGAGTTATATTTAGGTTCTACTTCTTCCAAGGTATGCTTGAATCATAAGGAGATAAGCTGATCAAGTTGATATGCGTTCACCTTCCGAGGGCCCAGATTGTTGAATCTTGGAAAGAGATTGGAGGATGACATCGGGCTTTGAGTTTAGGCTAGAAACCTTTTCAATAAGCTTGGAGTCTAACCGTGCCACTTATTTTTCAAGTGATTCAACCTTAGATATAGTTGTATCTAGGTTGTCTTGGAGTTCTAGAAGGGACAATATTTTCATCTAATGATTCAACATTGGAAACAGTTGTAGCTACGTTG